CAGCGCCGGCACTCACGGGGGGTTCCGTACAGGAACAATGGCCCTGTAACTTCCACGCAGTCTTTTTAAAAAATTAAACGACACATTTTATTTTTTTTTAACTTAAACAACACATTTTTAAAAAGCTTCATGTATCACAGTATTGCTCTCGCACAAATAATCTACGGGACAGAGACGCTAACGGCGACATCTCACGCAGTGCTACCACCTGGATAGACCTCGAGTAAAACCAACGCCCCAAACCCGTCCCGAGCCCCCGCGCGGCGGCTGGGACCCACGGAAGCAGATCTCGGGGAATTCCGGATCTCGCGGAGCAAGAGTGGCGCGCAGCTGACGGAATGGATGGCACTTAGAAAAGTTTTTTCTTTTTCTTTAAGGCAATACTTTCATTGGGTTCGAAATTTAGAAGGTACAGAACGACAGAGATGAAAAAAGTACCCTTCCCACCCGGCCCGTTGGCGCTCGCAGAGCACATCTGCTCCGGGTGCTCTCCCGGCGACAGCCGCCGCCGACGAGGCGACAGCGGGGAGCGGCCTCTTAGCACCTCGCCGGGTGCCGCGCAGCACGACATAGGCTCTGGCTGCACAGAGCAAACCCTCTAAGATAGGCTCTGTCATCCTCATTTCGTCCGAGTGAACACGGGACTGTGAAAACATCGAGCACATGTCCCACTTCCCGCCTCCCCCCACAGAGGGCGGCGCCCTCCACACTGCGGGGCGCCCCGCCTTTTCCCCTCGGTCAGTCTGGAAGTGCACCCTCCCTCCTGCGCCCCCCTCGCCTCCCCTCCCCTCCCCCTCCCGCGGCGCGCACCCCGCACACTCCTGGCCCTCACCAGACCAGACTTGCAGGCAGGGGAGCCGGGGCGCCGCGCTCGCCCCTGAACCCGCCCCGAGGCCCCCTTTTCCTTGACTCTGCCGAGAGCTGGCAGCACGCCCGCCTCGGTCACCTATTTCCCATAACACGGCTGGCAGCCGGAGCAGAGCACTTGTTGCTTCTCCTGACTAAGCCCTTCCTTTCATAAACGTCATCTTTCTCTCAAAACAGAAAAAGCAGCTTGGAGAGCCCGCCTTTTTACAGTCCGAGCGTCCACCATGTGCATGTGCATGAATGACTTGCCACTCTCTGTCCCTGTACTGCTGTGCAGTCAGGAACGTGCCTCTAATATTAAATGCGAAGCGACCGGGCGGCCGTTTCTAACGTGGGTGCGGGGATGCCGCCGGAGTGCGAGGCGGGGAGAGTCTCCGGCCCCACCCACCACGCGTCCTCAGACCCCGCCCCGTTTTTTCGAGGAGCGCTCCGAGTCCTCACACGCCGAAGTCCTCAGCCTAGAAGGGCCGGAAGTACTGTAGGACGCTCCCCGGGGCCCGCCCCTCTGCTTCCGGCAGCAGCTGTGAGGAGTGCTGGCTGCAATCTTTGGTGCCCGGCCGGTAGGATGGCGCCGGGCCGACGCGGTCACAGCACCGACAGCGGACGGCCACGAAGGGTTCCATCGTCTCCCGACATTTCTCCTCAGGGGCGGGGGCTGGGAGTGGCCGGTCTTTCTGCTTCGTCTGCGTTGCTCCCGCCCCCGCACCACCGAGATGCGGGCCTCCGTCGTCCTAGCCCTGCCGCCCTCTTCCCGAGTGGATGCTAGAGCGTCTCGTCGCTTCCTGTCGCCCGCGCCGGGGCGGGAAGGGGGCGTTGCGCGATCGCGGAAGGAACTCGCTCGCTGGGTGGCTTGTAGGTACCGGAAGTGTTGGGAGGGAGAACGGAAGTGAGGGGGCGGAGCCAGGAAGTGAGGCGGGGCGGGGGTTTATGAGGAGGCCCGGAGAGCGTTGGGGGCAGATTTGCACTCAGGGCCACCTGAGGGGCTGGGCGCCAGCGCTCCCCTGTGTTCTCTCCCGTGGCGGAGACACGTCTGTTGTCTGGGCGAAGGGACCTGTGTGGAGGGTGGGTTGTCGGGAGGGCAGTTCTCTACCTGCGCCTGAGGCGAGGTGTGGAGAGGCAGGGCTGGGGGTGGGGCCGGGTCGTCAGGGCGTCTGAGAGGGAAGACCCCCCGGCCCCCTACCTTTTACCCTGGCTGAGTGGACACTAAGATGGCTGCCGTTGCCATGGCACCCAACCCCGTGCAGACCCTGCAGGAGGAGGCGGTGTGCGCCATCTGCCTCGATTACTTCACGGACCCCGTGTCCATCGGCTGCGGGCACAACTTCTGCCGCGTGTGTGTGACCCAGCTGTGGGGAGGGGAGGATGAGGAGGACCGGGACGAGTTAGACCGGGAGGAGGAGGAGGAGAACGGAGGGGACGAGGAGGAAGTGGAGGCTGTGGGGGCCGGCGGGGGCTGGGACACCCCCATGAGGGATGAAGACTACGAGGGCGACTTGGAGGAAGAGGTCGAGGAGGAGGAGGAAGGAGTGTTCTGGACCGGGGGCCTGGGCGGGTCGGACTGGGACAACATGGACTACGTGTGGGAGGAGGAGGAGGAGGAGGACCTGGACTACTACTTGGACATGGAGGAGGACCTGGGGGTGGAGGACGAGGAGGACGAGGAGGAGGTGCTGGAGGAGGAAGAGGAGCTGGACCCCGTCACGTCGCTGCCCCCGGCGCCCCCGCGGCGCTGCTTCACCTGCCCGCAGTGCCGGAAGAGCTTCCCGCGGAGGAGCTTCCGCCCCAACCTGCAGCTGGCCAACATGGTCCAGGTGATCCGCCAGATGCACCCCGCGCCGGGCCGGGGCAGCCGGGGGGGCGAGCAGGGCGTCTGCCCCAAACACCAGGAGGCCCTGAAGCTCTTCTGCGAGGTGGACCAGGAGGCCATCTGCGTGGTGTGCCGGGAGTCCCGGAGCCACAAGCAGCACAGCGTGGTGCCGCTGGAGGAGGTGGTGCAGGAGTACAAGGTGAGGGGAGCCGAAGAGGGGTTCAGCGGGGCGGAGAGGAAGGAAGGAGCTGGGAAAAGGAAAGGTCTCGTGCACCGCAAGGTGATCCTCCTGTGTAAACACCGTTGGCACCGGGCTTAGAGGGAAGGATCCCGTGCACAGACAGCAGACACAGGGGAGGCCAGGGAGGACTGGCTTTCTCAGGAAATTGGGCAAAGCTGGTGATGCATGTCACTGGGCTGTGTCTCCCGGGAAAAGCCACTGCTCGTCCACACTTCCACTGGCCCTCAGTGTAGGAGTGCAGGTGACAGGCCCCTAGGGAGAGGCTTTTACCTTTCTGAATGTCTTTGAACTTTATTTTCTCCAGGACTAAAAGTTAGTATTTATTGAACATACACTGTGTACTCCAGGCCCTACACTAAGCACTTTTCATGGACTGTCTCATTGAAAACTCAAAACAACCCTGTGAGTTTGATATGGTTTCTGTTCCCATTTTACAGATCGGGAAACAGAGTCAGAGAGATTTAAGTAATATACACAGGGCCACACAGCTGCTAGTCAGTGATGGACTTGGTTATGACCTACTCCCCGGCCCCTACCCCCATCCCCCCACCCTCAGTCTACACTGTTAACAAGGTCACTACTATTTGGATATCTGTTTGTTTGACTTTTCTGACATACAACTTCATCTTGGAGTTTGATTGTATTTTGCTTAATATCTTGCCCCCTACTTTTGATCCTGACTCTTTTTGGACATCGGTAAAGGCGATTTGGCTGTGGGACAGCCGGCACAACTATCACTACTTAGAGGAGGCCTAGATGTGACCGGGAAGAGGAGCAGGTAGCTTCTATGTGATTGGCACAGAGCTTTTTCGTTTTATGACTTTGTTTTCGTATCTCCTGATTCCTAGGGTAACCTTGTTTAGGTATTATCATCGCCCCGATTTTAGAATAATGAGCCTAGAGCTTCTCAGCTATAAGTGGTACAGCTAAGACCAACCAATATCCCTTCATGACAGGTTAACTGTTCCTTCCCCGCAGTGATTGTCAAGCCGGGCCGATGGGCCACATTACTCGTGGAGGTTTTCAGAAGTAGAATGGACTTTACCACTAGAGATTCTGAGTCCGTGATGGGAGAGTGTCTTCAGGAAGCCAGCCTGTGATGGGACTCACTGCATTATAATGTCACCTGCCTTTTAGGCCGTGCAATATTAGGGGAAGTTGCCAGCTCCTTTTGTTCTTCCTTTTTATATCCCCTCAGTTCCTACTTAATTCTACCCATCAAACAATGTGTAGCCAGCTTTGTTAGCTGGATCTCAGGGTGGAATATCCATGAGCATTCCACCCCTTTTTCATGCTCCCTGGCAGGACTTCTGAAGAGTTTCTGAAACTGGATTTTAATTTGTGTTAACCACATCTATTGAATTCCACTCCAGTAGGCTTTGCCATTTGGGGAGGTCACTTAGACACAAATAATCTTACAGTAACTGATCAGCAAATGTCAATACATGAGTTTTATTATATAGAACTAATTTGAGTGATTCCCTTTCTAAGTTATAGGCTATTTTGCAGACAAGGAGTTTGTTTTGTTTAGATACCTACACTGACTAGCACTAGCTTGGCACTGTGTTGTTTTGTAGAAATATTTCTTTATTGAGTAGGTTGTAATATACCAATGCTGTATAAATAAAGCTCCAGAAAAGTTAAAGGTCCTTGAAGATTTTTCTTACATAGTACTCTATTTGGATTTCTGCTTATGAATTTTTTGTCAACAATTTAGGAAAAATATTAAGTGGAAAATTTAAGCATCATAAATTCTGTATTAATAGAGTTGAAATTATTGACACTACTGGAGAAAAGTGGAAAGTGATATCAAAAGGCAAAATTCTGTGTAGTTTCTGCTGTTTTCATGTTATGGATCGATTGTAATCTTATTACATAATTTTTGTCTGCAACCACTTACCTGTGCAACTATGGCTTTTTGGCCTGGCTGGCATGGCTCAGTGGTTGAGCATCAACCTGTGAACTAGGAGGTCCCAGTTCGATTCCCGGTCAGGGCACATGCCCAGGTTGCGAGCTCTATCCCCAGTGGGGTGTGCAGGAGGCAGCTGATCAATGATTCTCATCATTGATGTTTCTATCTCTGTCTCCCTCTCCCTTCCTCTCTGAAATCAATAAAAGTATATTAAAAAAAAAAAAACCAACCCAACAACAACGGCCTTTTGTACCCTGAGTCAGTAACGTCTGTAGTTCAAGGGTCACTGTCAGGTTTTCATTGGCAGCTTAAGGCCTACGTAGGGAATACTAGGTAACATTTACTGACCTGTTGCTATATACCAGACACTGTGCTAAGCATACTACCCAAGGGGTAGGTTCTGTTATTCCCAATTCCCATTTAAGATGAGGAAACTGGAATCATGGCTTGCTTCAGGACACTTGGCTGCATTTAGGATCAGATTGGAGTCTAGGCTTGAGCTTTTCTGCCCTGTGTTACCCCTCAAGGAAAAGGAGGGATAAATGCAGAAGACATAAAAAAGGAAATCAATAGTTTGGGCTAATCTCACCCATTTTGGCCTCTCTATCAGCACTTTGAAGACAAAGACTGCTACAAATGATGGAGCACAGAGCTTAAGTGCATATTTGTTGAGAAGGTTAAGTATTTAGGAGGAGAGGGTTTTTGTTTTTCATTCAGCAAGTGACTGAGTGGGAGAGAAAGCAGATGGACAGGGAGAAACAGGAATGAAAGTGGCCACCCGGTCCCAAAGAGCCCCTCTGTCCTGGGGAAGGCAGGCACACTTGTAATGATTACCGTGCCTGGGAAGTATCATAGTCCAGAGAAAGACGAGAGATGGCTAAAACTAAGAGCCTGCAGAAGGGTAGGTACAGGAGGGGAGGCTAGAAATGCAGGGGCAGTTAGAGCCTCATATTTTACAAGTGGTGGTGAACAACTGATGGATTTTTATCACGTGAAAATAATCAGCAAAGTACTTAGAGATGAAGTGATGAGGAAGATTGCTTATGAGGGGACAGGACCACAGGCAGGAACATTCACG